CTTTGAAGTCACTTCTGACTTAACAACCCAAGCCTTTTTGGCTTGTTTTCATAGATTTGTCGCGAGAAGAGGAATGCCTTCGGATGTTTACTCGGATTGCGGCAAAAACTTTCAAGGGGCTGCTAATTACTTGATGGCTCAGAGGTTGCTTTCGGATCAATTGGGTGTCACTTGGCACATGAATCCGCCTTACGCCCCACACATGGGTGGGCTTTGGGAGTCGACGGTCAAGTCGGCAAAACAGTTATTGTTGCGCACAGTTGGTGAGCAGGTTCTCACTTACGAAGAGTTGTCCACTGTGTTTGCTAGAGCCGAGGCTGTTTTGAACTCTAGACCGTTATGTCCTCTTACAGATGACGTGTCCAATCTTGATACTTTGACTCCTGGTCATTATCTTATCGGTCAGCTTTTGGTCAGCTTACCCGAAGAAGCATCTGATGATTCTCAAGTCCCATTACTCAAACGTTGGAAGCTAGTGCAACAAATCTCGCATCACTTTTGGCAAAGATGGCAGGGTGAATATCTTCACAATCTTCAACAGCGCGCTAAATGGTGTAAAACCATCCCCAATTTGATGTTGGGTGACCTGGTTTTAATTAAAGACGATCACACTACACCCCTTAGGTGGCGAAAGGGACGAGTATCTGCGCTCCATCCTGGAACAGATGGCGTGGTACGCGTTGTAGAGATAAGGACCAGTTCCGGGTCTTGTCTCAGGTCGTTAACTAAGGTGTGTCCATTGCCAAAATGCGATACAAATTAATTTAAAACAAATTTTATATACTTAATTACTTTTTTTTTAACTTAGCTTTGATATTAAACATAATTTTTATATACATTTTAATTTAACTTCATGGTACATCAGCGGTTTGTGCAATCAATCCTATCGGTAAATCAACTTTATTAAGAGTTTCTATTGGATTTTGCATTTCTTACCCATGCGGAAATCAGCTTAATTCGGAAAATCAACTCGGTTAGTTTTGGAATTGAAATCAACTTTATTCGGAAAATCAACTCGTCAATTTTAGAATATGCTAAAGAGCTTAGCAGCTCTTTGGGGGGCGGTCATGTTCGGTTTCAAATATATTGAATGCGTATAACGTAACATTACATCCGCTTACCCACCTTTTCCTATCCCTTGGACGATTTTTTATTGTAATACGAGGGTAGACAGGTAGTATCTGTCAGCTGCCTGTTACTACTACGACGCCACAGCGACCGGACGACTTGAAAAGTCCCGATCCAAATAACATATAGTCAGCGCGTCGGTTGTTCAACGAGCACAAAGGAACATCATCAAATCACCAAGATTACGTGAAGGACAGTTAGGACTAGCTCAAGATAACATTCCTACAACATCCGGAAACTTACGAAAATACAGGCAGACCAGCGCTGCTCTAAAGGCTATCGGAGAAAACAAATCGTAAGTCCAAATCACTTTCTGTCCCGCACAGTTATCTTAAAAACATAACAAAAATAATGAAGCTACTGAATATATGGCTATAGAACCTAAATCTCTTAGCTTGTTAACGAGAGTTTAAAAATTCTCTCTAATCTGTGGCTCATTCACAATCATCACACAGTTTCTTTCACAGAGTACCTACCTTATTACAACCGGAAATAACACCTGATTTTAAAAGTTACTCTTATGCATTAACTTTAAAAACAGGCAAACTATCTGTTAATCTACATGCTCTATATACCTGAATCTAATCCATAATTTCGGTACTTGGCTTGATTTCCCTAGTTTACTATATAACTTATTTATTTTTTATTATTTTAATATGTTCAGTGTATATGGTTTATAGAAATTCTCAGGGGTGTCCGTCAATAATATTCGTTTCTTCAGTAATTTATATATAATTTCGAATCTAGGATACAATTTTTCATGATTATTGGTCTTTAGGCAAAACATGTATGGAAGCTGAGCAATCTCCTTTATTCAATATCATGTAACGTTCTTGAATGGATGGAACTTAATTGAATATATGTATATATACAGGGTGGAAATTTTGAATGCCACCCCCAGGAGAAGTACTCTAAATACTGGAGATAGATAATTTTACTCAAAAGAAACATTCCTTTATTTTTAAAAAGAATTATACGATGTTTCTCTTCCTCAGGTAAATTATTTAACTCATTTCTTAAGAGGTTCAGTATTTCAAGATACTTGACAGTGTTTAAATGACCATCGTACACGTGGACTAACACAACAATTTTCTCATAATTCCGCACCAAACGTTGAAAGAGAATCTTACTTGTCTGTTAGTTTCATGAACACGAAAAGGATTCACTCATGACCAATAGTGGTTATTGCGGCGGTTGTACATGCCGCTATTTCTGAAGAGAGTTTCGTCAGACCATACAATATTACTCAAAAAATCTGGGTTACGAGCAACTTCTGCCACCATGTTTTGACAAAATAGTAGTCGCCTTTCACGATCCCTAGGATGCAATTTTTGAACCAACCGACCATCACGAAAACATTTTGTACTTATTCGCTATGTGCACGACAGTAGCGCCACCTACAGTGCGCAACTTTCCGGGATTATGCCAAATAATCACATCAGTTTGTATTTTATTGATTTCTAGTAAATATAGTAAGGTAAAGATAAATAAAAATTATTATATATTGTATAATAATTTAAATAATGTCGGATTTCAATTCGGAATTCAGTACAGTCAATAATAACTCTTGTATTGATGTAATCTGGACTGAAACACTTGGGCATTGGTGCTTGTACGGTGGCTCTATTCGGCCAAAAGATTAAATTAGCAGTTGAACAAGCTAGATTTTGTAAGATCGAATGAAATATACGTGAGATTGTGGTTTTTTTGTACACCAAATAACACACTCAATGCTGAAAATGTCAAGCCAGTTTTCATTTTTATCAAAAAAATCAGAAGTCGGTCTTTAGTGGAAACTGTACATTTTCTCATAGTTAATCTTGTTAATAAAAACTCAAAATTGCTAAATGACACACCAGAAGGATCTAGGAGTTCTTGATCATTTGTTATTGATGAAATACCAACAAATTCTTGACTTTTTGTTTCGGTAGATTGATCCTCATACGATTTTTTGTCAGTGCCACAGCTTTTATCTTTCTTTCTTGAATTATTTGTCATTAAAATTCTTGATGTTGGATTTCAGCATCACAGTGATCACTGTAAATTAATCTAATACAAATAAAAGTTGTATCTCTCAATTTCGATTCAGAAAACATATTGACTTGACATCCTTGATCGATCATAAAAGGTTGAGTTTGATTTAATTCACTCCCTTCTTCAATTATTATTTGACTTGATGTGGTATCTGAGACTTTTGTGGTTCTTCGTTTTGTCAAGCGTGTATATCTAGCTAGGACCTGTGAATCATTAACCTTCCTCTTTCGATATATTTCAGGGAATATCGTAGGAGCATAACTCGGATTTTCTTCCTCGTCTGATTTTTTGTTTCCCATAAAATGTTCACTACAAATTGTGTCGTCAGGTTTGGGATACCATGGCGACCCATCAACACTAAAATAATAAAGACAATAATGAATATCACATAAAATATATAGCGCAAATTAAATTGATCATAATTTAAGGTTATTTCGCTTACTTATTTCTTTTTATGGCATCTATCCATTTATTTCTTTGATTTAATTTCCAGTCCAATGTAGGAAATATATACACAGACTATTTGTGCCCTTATTTTTGCAATTCACAATACAACAACATCTATTAATAGGCATTTTAAAAAATTTTTGTTTATTACGAACTCCGTGCAAATTGACTTTACTTTCCCGGATTGTTGCGTATTTCTGCCACGATAAGCGCTGCGATCGCTTCACTATACCCCCACCATGTACTTCGCACATAGCGAATACTTTTCCAGTCCTTCAAGTACGCGAGTGTGTTTGGTTCCAATTTCTTCGGCAGCTTCTCTGCTTAAAGCCTTTGGATATGCTTCGAAGTATGTTAAAACACTTAAATCAAAATCGGAATAGACCTGCTGAGGACGTTGCTGTTGCTGTCGCCTTTTGTAACTTCCAGTACTTTTTCAAACGAATCGAGTTGGTACTTGTCGATCCGGATATGTCTCTCCATACCACCGCAGAGCTAAATTCACATCTTTGTGATTAAAAAAATATGCTTCAATTAAATCAAATTGTTTTTGATAAGCCAATGCCAATGTTAAATTTTGATGCAGCAAACAAGACTAAAGACAATGCGTTCTAATTCGCTATTCCATTTTCAAAAATATGTAACATACCTCTTTGCCTACCTCATTTAAATCACTGGTACCAAAGAGGTTGTACGGCGCGCCCCATGAGACTGGTACCTTACTGAACTCTTGAGTCTGCATTTTAAACATGTGCAAAAATTCTTTATTCGTTATTTGAATGAATAAATGACGTCGAAGATAATAAACTATAAAATGGACTATCAGACGTTACTTCGTACCAAATTTCAAGATTATAAGTTCACAGGAAGTATCCTGTAGGTTTTGGTTTTGTTTTTTAACCCCCCCTCCCCCTTGGTGATACATGGTGAGGTTTAAGATGTTCGTTTCGCGTTAATCTTAAGCTTTCCGCATCTAGCGGCTTTTCGGGACCTTCAATAGAGTGCCAGTCGGTCGGTCGATTTAATCATTAATATTAATCAATTTCTTGGTAAAGCTCCTGAAATGTGTTCCTACTCTTAAACCTGGCGATATTTTATTACTAGCTATGCCCCGCGGTGTTCTCCGCGGTTTATTAGAGATATTTTCCCGTTTTAAAACGTAGCCTATGCGTTAATCCAGGGAGGCAGCTAACTCCATACCAAATTTCATTAAAATCGCTACAGCGGTTTAGACATGAAGCGGTCACAAACACACACATTCACAAACTTTCGCCTTTATAATATTAATGTGATGTATGTATGTATCATATGATATGTGTCTATGTTATAATTTTTATTTTTTAAGCATGTAACTGCTCGATGTTTAAATCTATGTGTTTATGTCTCCATAGCTCGTCGATTCGCGCGCCGATGCTTCTACCCATGTTCCCCGCGTACTACATCTTCAACACGATGCTGTGCTTCCTACTGGCCTTACACGTACTGTGGACCTGGCTCATACTACAGGTGGCTTACAACGCCATCAGTGCCGGGAAGGTGAGTACTGTAGAGGGATATATATTTAAATGTATATCATATGTGTGTGCTTCTTACTGGCCTTACACGTACTGTGGACCTGGTTCATACTGCAGGTGGCTTACAACGCCATCAGTGCCGGGAAGGTGAGTACTGCAGAGGGATATATATATAAATGTATATCATATGTGTGTGTTTCTTACTGGCCTTACACGTACTGTGGACCTGGCTCATACTGCAGGTGGCTTACAACGCCATCAGTGCCGGGAAGGTGAGTACTGTAGAGGGATATATATTTAAATGTATATCATATGTGTGTGCTTCTTACTGGCCTTACACGTACTGTGGACCTGGTTCATACTGCAGGTGGCTTACAACGCCATCAGTGCCGGGAAGGTGAGTACTGTAGAGGGATATATATTTAAATGTATATCATATGTGTGTGCTTCTTACTGGCCTTACACGTACTGTGGACCTGGTTCATACTGCAGGTGGCTTACAACGCCATCAGTGCCGGGAAGGTGAGTACTGTAGAGGGATATATATTTAAATGTATATCATATGTGTGTGCTTCTTACTGGCCTTACACGTACTGTGGACCTGGTTCATACTGCAGGTGGCTTACAACGCCATCAGTGCCGGGAAGGTGAGTACTGCAGAGGGATATATATATAAATGTATATCATATGTGTGTGTTTCTTACTGGCCTTACACGTACTGTGGACCTGGCTCATACTGCAGGTGGCTTACAACGCCATCAGTGCCGGGAAGGTGAGTACTGTAGAGGGATATATATTTAAATGTATATGATATGTGTGTGCTTCTTACTGGCCTTACACGTACTGTGGACCTGGTTCATACTGCAGGTGGCTTACAACGCCATCAGTGCCGGGAAGGTGAGTACTGCAGAGGGATATATATATAAATGTATATCATATGTGTGTGTTTCTTACTGGCCTTACACGTACTGTGGACCTGGCTCATACTGCAGGTGGCTTACAACGCCATCAGTGCCGGGAAGGTGAGTACTGTAGAGGGATATATATTTAAATGTATATCATATGTGTGTGCTTCTTACTGGCCTTACACGTACTGTGGACCTGGTTCATACTGCAGGTGGCTTACAACGCCATCAGTGCCGGGAAGGTGAGTACTGCAGAGGGATATATATATAAATGTATATCATATGTGTGTGTTTCTTACTGGCCTTACACGTACTGTGGACCTGGCTCATACTGCAGGTGGCTTACAACGCCATCAGTGCCGGGAAGGTGAGTACTGTAGAGGGATATATATTTAAATGTATATGATATGTGTGTGCTTCTTACTGGCCTTACACGTACTGTGGACCTGGTTCATACTGCAGGTGGCTTACAACGCCATCAGTGCCGGGAAGGTGAGTACTGCAGAGGGATATATATATAAATGTATATCATATGTGTGTGTTTCTTACTGGCCTTACACGTACTGTGGACCTGGCTCATACTGCAGGTGGCTTACAACGCCATCAGTGCCGGGAAGGTGAGTACTGTAGAGGGATATATATTTAAATGTATATCATATGTGTGTGCTTCTTACTGGCCTTACACGTACTGTGGACCTGGTTCATACTGCAGGTGGCTTACAACGCCATCAGTGCCGGGAAGGTGAGTACTGCAGAGGGATATATATATAAATGTATATCATATGTGTGTGTTTCTTACTGGCCTTACACGTACTGTGGACCTGGCTCATACTGCAGGTGGCTTACAACGCCATCAGTGCCGGGAAGGTGAGTACTGTAGAGGGATATATATTTAAATGTATATCATATGTGTGTGCTTCTTACTGGCCTTACACGTACTGTGGACCTGGTTCATACTGCAGGTGGCTTACAACGCCATCAGTGCCGGGAAGGTGAGTACTGCAGAGGGATATATATATAAATGTATATCATATGTGTGTGTTTCTTACTGGCCTTACACGTACTGTGGACCTGGCTCATACTGCAGGTGGCTTACAACGCCATCAGTGCCGGGAAGGTGAGTACTGTAGAGGGATATATATTTAAATGTATATCATATGTGTGTGCTTCTTACTGGCCTTACACGTACTGTGGACCTGGTTCATACTGCAGGTGGCTTACAACGCCATCAGTGCCGGGAAGGTGAGTACTGCAGAGGGATATATATATATGTATATCATATGTGTGTACTCCTTACTGGCCTGACACGTACTGTGGACCTGGCTCATACTGCAGATGTCTCATAATATTTTTTTTTAGATAGGTCCGACAAATGACTTCATCCCACCTGATGTTAAGTGACGGTGAAGTCCAGACGCAAAGATATCTGGTACAGCGGTTCTACCTGCCACACCAGCCACCCTCACCTTGCCGGCCTGCATGTTGCTTCTACACGCCTCTTTTAAAGGATCCGTGGTTGTAAGAAGGAGGGAGCAGGTGAGCAGGCAGAGTATTCCATTTACGGATAGTGCGACAAAGAAATGAGTCGCCAGATTTCTTTGTACGCGTTGGAATTGTGGCCACAGTTAGACGGTGACAACGAAGGCCAGCGCGTTTGGTCCTCTGAAGGAAAGGGGAAGGTGGAATAAGTGAGAATAACTCCTTAGAACACTCGCCGTGGTACAGACGATAGAACGCGTTTAGTGACGCCACGTCAGGGCGTAATTGAAGAGGCTCGAGGTGATTAGTCACCTCCTCATCGCCTATGATGCGGATTGCGCGCCGCTGTAATCTATCCGAAGTATCGAGCAAGTACTTGGCGGAGCCATCCCGAGCAATATTCCACGCAAGACCGCACCTGCGTCTTATACAACAAGCACAGTTGCTCGGGCGTGAAAAAACGCCGCACCTTGTTCAGGACTCCCGAGTTTGTGTGAGTTACTCAACGGTATTAAATACCCTAGATAAACCACGCTCAAAATGTGTCCCAATCAAGAAGTGCTTGAACATCTCTCAAGCACTTCTTGGTTTACAGTCCCGCGCGGATCGTTGAACAATCAAGATGCCGCAAATATCCGTGAAAAAGTGCGAAATAAATACTTAAAGTATGTAAAGTGTAATTTTTTCCATAGGTATCTAAACAATGTTTGTTAATTAAATGCATTTGAAGCTAATTTTGTTCTAATACTTATTATTAACTGATTTAATAGAAAATATTTGTGATATTCAAATGCATGGTCGGTTTCGGTTATATAGCCGTCTCTTTTCCTCGCGATCCGTACCTGCTATATTGCTAACAGCGCATTCACAATTGCGCGTGGAATCAAAGAAATAAGGTCTATATTCTTCCGCATATAGCAATAAGTCGTGAAATTTTACTTGCTTGCATTTCGAACTGTCAATAACTCTTTGACGCATGCGTTTTAATTAAAACCTTATACACTATGCATTAAAGGTGACTTTCAATGTTTAAATAATTCCTTATATTAAGAAAATATAACTAGAAAAAATTCCACGCGGACCAGGCAGCAGACGGGACTCGAACTCGCACCCTTCGCAATCCGGGCGAATACACTGACCAATTATACTACCGCGGCCCTCACGGACCGCGTCGAAATTCCTCTAGCCATTCTTAAGCTGCAAGGCAATGTTAAATGAAAACTTTTACAAGTATTAAACTGGTCAGTGGATTCGCCGGGATTGCGAAGGGTGCGGGTTCGAGTCCCGTCTGCTGCCTGGTCCGCGTGGAATGTTTTCTAGTTATATTTTCTTTAGATTTAAACATCAAGCAGTTACATGCTTGAAAAAAGAATTATTATAATTCCTTATATTGTTTTTACTGCGCGATCATCTTGCGGAGCTCCGTGGATCGTCCAATGTACCTTTTGGCCAGGTTTCGTCCACGGTTTTGTTCGTGATGTTGTATCTATGGTATTTAATATCGTTGGAGGTACTCTAAACTTGTATTACTTTTTTTGAGTGCTACCGCTAATGTGACCAATGTCTTTATTTCAGATGGAGGGTGACATAAGGAGTTCCAGTTCAGAAATAAGCGATAGTTCGCATTCCAACCACAGCACTCCGAATCGGGTCAACCATAAGAAGTAAGAACAATCTCTTTTTAAAAGTTTTTATTTAGCTTGCAATGTATGTATGTATGTTTGTTTGGGTGGAATCATGCAACTCAATTTTGAAGCAGATGTCTTCATTCATCATCAGCCTATTAATGTCCCTGCCACTGCTGGGGCACAGGCCTTCCCTATGGATGGAATAGGTAGATTGGGCCATGACCCACCACGCGGGCCCAGTGCGGAATGGCGGGTGCTAACGACTGCAGATGCAGCCGGGACCAACGGCTTAACGTGCCTTCCGAAGCACGGAGGAGCTCGAGATAGTAATTTTCGTTCACCCATCCAATGACCGACCACTGCGAAAGTTGCTTTAGTTCAACGATCGCAGCCGAACGCGCTAACCACTTGCGCTTTCGAGCTCCTCATTCGATTGAGCTGAATTTTTTTACACATGTTTAGTTTGGATCGCAATCATAGAGGTATAAGAATAGAGTTGGGGAGATAAAGACTACTACAAGTGGATGTGTCCCTCTAATAGAAAGAGAAAGAAGATGAGAGACCGCTAGCTTTCTCTCTCTAATCGCGCATGCACATTGGCAACCTAAAAGTAAAAGTAAGCATCTTAATATTTCGATGTGAAGCCATTGGATAACATGCGTCACAAGAGAAAGACAGATAGCTAGCCGTCTCTCATCATTCTCTTTCTACTAGACGGATACTTTCAGAGCCGCCTTCCCTCTATTATTATACCTCTATGATCACAATGCATGGTGGGCTGTGTTACGTCATTCTAAATCCAATATGGCGGAACATGCAAGATGGCCGACTAGTGTCAAAAAGGTATTGAAGGAATTGAAGTTCGACATTCAGGAGACTATAACGATAACATATTACATCAATAATGCAACGCCCAAGTTTAAAATTGTATCATCATCAGCCTATTAATGTCCCCACAGCTGGGGCACAGGCCTTTGCCTATGGATGAAATAAAATTGTATAATAAAACATTAATTTTCTATCCACAGAGATACGTAGGGCCTATTCTCGCATCGAACCCGTGGCCGTCTTTCCTTGTGTCGCAGCCGAAGGTAATCCACCGCCACGGTATGTTTTGAACAGCAAACGATACCTCTACTTCTCTATGGTGCGGTGAAAAATACCTCAACTACTTCATAATGTGGTGATAAATACCTCTACTACTCTATAATGTGGTGTTTATAAAGACTCGAACTAAAAAGTGAGATTGCCTTATTAAAATAATAAATTTGTGTTGAATAATGTGCGCAAGATGATTGATAGGTACTTAAGTAAAATGTGTGTGCCCTTATCATGCCGGGTTGAATGGTTGTTCTTCTTAACTAACTTGTGATCGCGAAATCAGCTTTCGGAATAACTCATGATTGCTAATTCAGCGTTGGAATAACTTGTGTGCGCAAAAGTCAGTTTTGGAATTATTGGTGCACGCCAAAGTCAGCACTGGAATGTCTTATCATCGCGAAATCAGCGCTTGATTAACTCGTGTCAGCAAAATTAAAATCTGCAATGAGTTATGATTGCGAATTTATTGTTGTGATTAATCCCAGAGCAAAATATCAACTCTGGAATGACTTGTGATCCCGATGTCAGCGTTGTAATAACCAATTTACGCATAGTCAGCTAGACTATTAAAATGTTATATTGGTGAAGGACTGACAATGAAGTGCGAAGTCTGTTTCTATTTCAGCGTTGGATTAGCTTGTGTGAGTCACAATGTCGACTCTAGACTGCCTTCAGAGCATAATAGAGATTATTTGATTAAGACAGTCATCTGTGGACTCACTTGCGAGATGACTATGTATTGGATTAACAAAGTCAGTACATAAAGAGCTTGTGAGCATTAAGTCGAAATGGTACTGACTTGTTAACGCGAAGTCAGCATTATACAGAAGTTACTAAAGATCGAGGTCAGCGTTGGACAAAAGTCTCTGAAGAGCGAAGTCAGCGTTGGACAGAAGTCACTGAAGAGCGAAGTCGGCGTTGGACAGAAGTCACTGAAGAGCGAAGTCAGCGTTGGACAGAAGTCACTGAAGAGGGAAGTCAGCGTTGAAAAATGTGTCAGGTAACTGTCTATATAGGATCACAGAATAAAACGTAACTTGTGAAATGATCGCTTTAAAGGTGCACTGTATATTGTTATACCATAATATGTTCTAGTTTAATAATTCTATGCCGTTATTTCATGTTTCTAGTTATATCGAAAGATATTCTGTTTTATTTCGGTGCTGATTAGCAAACTGTTTAATTCGACTGTTCTTATTCACAAATTATTCTTAATTTATAAATTATCTTTTCTTCTACGCAACCGTGCTTTCTCTTTCTTTCATACAGAAATATCTTATTCTAGAGGGAGATAGGTTGCACCAACCGTCTTTACGATACCTCATACGCGAACAGAAACGTGCGGCTTTAACCAAATTCGAGTTTATTTGAAGTCTGAAAGATTTTAGGCTGTGAGTAAAATGGAACTTATGATTAGGTGCATTGAGACTAATTTTACTTGTGTATTTAGATCGTTACCCATCGACTATACTAACGTACTAATAGATAGAGAGATCCATTTTAATTATCCTCTTGAAAATAAAATATTCCTTTGATAAGTTTTCCATTATCTAAATTTAATGTATGAAAGTCCACAATTAAAATGTTGCTTTTAATTTTGCATTTATATATTATAATGGACAGTCGTACATAAAAATGTGCGTACAGTTTTACATTATTGTATAGGTACCATATTTTGAAATAAAGACAGTGATTAATTGTCAAAATTGTGTACATATTTTTATACATGACTGTCAGTGCATTTAAAAACTGTCGCATTTAATAACTTTTGTTCATTGAAAAAAAAACTATGTCGCTTTGAATTTCTTATTCTTCTGTTGTGTGAAGATATTTGTGACAAGATAGATTTGGAAAAACGAAAGAATTTCATTTCACAGTAAATATGAATAATTTCTTATGATTGCTTTATACGCACTTATCTCTCCATATTAAAGTAAAAGTCGCAAAAGAGTACATTTCCTTTGAAATATTTTAGAAGTACACAAAAACATAAATTTATTGACAAATATTATAAAAAACTTTAGTACATTATGATTAGTAATGTTAGTGGTCACAAAACTTTAGTTTTAATTACTAATGTGTTTTTTTTAATATTTTATATTTAATTCTAGTTACAGTTTTACCTAATTTCTATCACAAACTTGTTACAATTGTCCCTTGGTACGTAAATTGATTGCAATGGGAGGCCCTAGAAAATAATAAACTAGCCTAGCTCCTAATTTATCATTCATCAACTAAAAGCATGATACCGTGTCATAATCTGTGAACATGGCGCTCGTTTGTTGATTTCGTGTCATGGACTTCTACGTCACAACCGCTCTCTCGCATTTGAAATATTTTAATTGCCCACAGTTCTATCGCACTTTTCAATAATTATTTTCTTACTCGAAAATTAATTTTATTAAAATGGTATTGATGGAGGGACAATTCGAAAGTAATAGAGTTCATATTAATAAATTAAATCATTGTTGTCCAGTTTGGGATTAAATGATTATACAGATTGTTAGGAAATTATTATTTAATGTAAACGTGACATTTGAAAGGTTTTGTTTATTAGAAAAAAAATAACACCCTTAAGGGCACTCCCATGGAGCGATCGGAGTTTAACATTTAATTAATAACATCCGTGATTTTATTAGGAGAGAAAACAAGTTATTATACGAAAACAAATAATATTATTAGATTAATAAATTGAGTATTTTATTGTTACGAGATTTATGTATGTACGTGCATACATACTTTATTATTTTTTATTTTTATAGTGAGTCGTGCGTATGTTAATATGAGTTAATAACATTTTCTTATTATACATATGTTCGTTGATGGAGTTGATTGGTTTAAAATTTATTTTATATTGAAATACCTACGTATTGTTTGGTCTTGGCTGTACTTACAGATTAGCACAAAGACTATAGACTAATATATTTCCAAGTTAATAGGTTATATGACTAATACTTAATTATTAAATTCGGCTTGTGCCATTGCTATCATATCGGAAAAATCTACCTTTTCTATGGTAGGAGCTTACATGATACGACCTCCTATTATTAAATTATTGTTAAGTGCTAAGTTATTGTCTTTTAGAATTAAAAAAAATAAAAAATACTATTAAACTTAACGCCTTAGATATATATTTACCTTGTAATTATATAAACGTCAAGGAGAAAGCTAATATCTAAAATTACACAACATTTGGCCTGTTTTTCCACTCATCATGGTTCTATTTCTTTAGAAGCAAGCAGCATGTGCTCCGTTTCAGATAATCTAAGTCAAAGGTCTCTTAAGTTTTTACTCATAATTTTATCTCTAACTTGTTTAAGAGTTCCCCACACATAACTGCGAATTCGCATCGCAACGCAAATATCTGCGAGCTCGCACGAATGCTTCCGATCTGATTAGCATCGTACATTTCTGAGATATTACGTCTCACTTGGTTTCACCGTTTTGGTCCGCTCTGAGACTTCCCCCCTTATACGATCATTTTTGTAGACAGGGTGATAATGAACTCAAAAGTTTTTCAAATGAAGATATGCACATTCTAAAGTAATAAATAAATATATCTTCAGTTCTCAAACAGAAAATACTCTCAGTATTTTCGAGGAAAATAGTTCCCATCAGCGTTCATAATCGTAATAAATGGATGAACACAAAATCTTCTTTTTCTTCTATATCGATTTAACAATAACAGCAGTGCAGCAATCTTTTGCGATCCATGTCTCTATTACTAAAACACTTCCAATACGGCTGAACTCTGTCCCCTTAACCAAATATTTGCCGCACGTAATCGCATCGTAATTTTGTGTGGGAGCCCTAAGACCTAAAATAGCTGTTAATATAAAATAACTATTGTAATAAACTAAGACGTTTCCCTATGAAGATAGAGCTTAAAACGCTCTATCAAATTTTAGACATTTGCTACTCTTTGCTGTTTGACGCATAAGCTAAAAATCTTAAAACTAATAGACTTTAACCCAGAACCGAGAGAGATATATTATGGCTAACGTTGTTTCTCTGACAACCTTCTAATTTTTATAGTGCCTAAAGTGCGATCCGCTCCGCACAAAAGTTCATGTTGGCTTACTAATTAAGTGATTAGCTGTAGTCCGTGTGAGATATAGTGTGCTGAGTTTGTCTAGTCTAGTAATTTATTGGAAAAGTGTTACAACCAGTCCTCGTACTTACGGCATGTTAGGTTCTCGAAATACACGACGTAAGTCGAGACATATTTTTTCATATATTTACATGAAAAACTCAAGGGTTAGGATCCACAAGGACTCAAAATGTATTGTTTAGGTGGCATAGTTAGATTAAAATTCACTTAAATATATATGTAAAAACAAAAACTTTCAAAGGTGCAAAATAAAAACTAATGTATTACTAACTCTAACTATTACCACTATCAAATTTACTAACTACTAAACAAAACAAAATCAGCAGCATGGACATTGCCCTCGCGACAATGAATTCTCCTATGCCGGAAATCGAAACAACATCGTATACAACAACGTATGCTTGAGGAATAGTGTCAAAACATAGTTCGACGTAACATGAAACGACGTAAATCGAAACAACGTAAGTCGAGGACTGCCTGTATTGTACTCCATGCGACAGTGTTAAAGTTCCATTTTTGGCTGCTTGTCCTAAGATCACTGGATAGGAGAAATGCTAGAACCGATAAATTACAAGCAGACCGTTACTTAACTCAAATGGTTGATCTTTACGAATAGTCTTAAATCCCTAGCTCCCTAGACGTAATTACTATGATGATTCAACGACATTTGATACATTTGCATTTCGAATATGGACCTTATTGCTACATAATAAAAGCGTTTTCAGTGACATATTGAATCCACGAACGTGGACTCAATGAAGCAACACAGTCACTAACAGCTCGTAACCCTTTATTGATAAACAAGGGATAAGCTTAGACTAGCTACGCCGTGTTTTGTTCATGTCACTCAAATGCCATTTGTCATTTAATAAACAGAGACAAAACATTGAGAAACTAATCCAAGCGAAGTCTTCTTTTATTAATAAGGGGGGTAGAGTGTAGAATTTAGTTATTCTCGTTGAGGGCAGGCAATTGGCAAATATAGCAAGCATCTTTAGGCTACAGTGGCCGGGAACGGATAAGTAGGATAGTAGTGTCATAAAATCTAAATTTTCATTTTTTTAAAAGCAAATTTCCGAAGATATAAAAACAATGAACAAACATAGTGATATATTAAAATGAAATTCTCGTTTCCTGGGCGCTTGGGATCTTGGTCTATGAGAAATGAGATATATATATTCATATCATTTGACACGACGTAATTTATACATTGCACGTAATAGTAGGTATATTATAGTGAAGTAGGTATAGTGTTATAAATATTTTTATGCTAAATGTTGAACACGCCCAAAGATGCTTTACTAGTTTAAATGGTTATTTAATTTTAATTAATAGCCTTCGTCAGATGGTTCTTACGCGGTGACAGTAAAGTTATCCTTAGCATTTAAATGGATGAAAGAACAAATGAACTCCCCTTGATGGCGATATGCTTAAACCGTATCTTTGAATTTAATATTTGTCCGTTAGCTTTCGTGATAATGTCTATGTCATTCACGCCCACCTAGTATGAGCACCGCGATATGATGTATAACGCGTTTTTATCACGCTAAGCTGTCAAATTACTATGGAGTTTGACAGTAAGACGCGATAAAAAACGTGATATAATGTAAATTGTGGTGCTCATGCTACGGGGACTGAACTTGCCGCACAAAGGTCGGTAGGCTGTGATAGGTCTTATGCCGGTAATTTACTTGGCTATTCCTTTTTGTTATTTGTGAACTTGACAACAGGCTCTCCTTTTTTTTACTCCCTATAGAGTAAGATAAGAACAACCTGCTGTCAAAATGACAAATAGTAAATGAAGTGCCGGCATTACTGGCATACCAATGTACAGACAACACACGACAAAGTTGTTACTTTTCATATTACCTACTTATTTCTTGTCTAATATGTTGAATATATTTAAAGATACCACATTAGCAGTTAAGTTCCTTTAAGATTTGTTCCATTATTATTACAATTAGTAATTCTCTTATATATTTTATTTAATTATTGATATTGCATCGATAAATTGTTTTAGTCTAATCTTTAATGATATCTATAATTCTGTTGATCAAAATATGAAAATTGCAAAAAACAGTATCAATGGCTAGCCATAGTATTAATTGTAAAAATATTTTACTTGGTGTTATTTATGATTGTATTTTTATTACTTAAAAATTACTTACAAAAATATAAAAAAACAAGTAAATAAAATATAATATAATGTTTATTTTAAGTTTGTTGCTGAATTTTGGTATAATTCTTTAATATCACAAGACATGACAGTAGTGATGAACCAAGTCTCTTTCGCACATTTTGTCGATAAGTTGGCAGTCGTTTAACGTTTTAAAAAGAAAACTGCCGTCTGTCTAATTCAATTATGGCTTAGGTGTTGGTTTTGGCTTTTAGTTATATTAAATTGTTCGTTACAAAAAATAACGAAACATTAATAACAACACCATTTAGAATAACATTTAAATTAAATACCTAATAATTCTTTTCATAGAACTCGCTAAGCGTATTTTAAAACTAAACGCATTTCGAAATACACTGAAAAAATAATTCTAAACTAGTGTAACTGGTTGTTTTAGAACTTGCAAATTGAATAACAAATATATTGAGAAAGTTGCAAAAATTGTTAAAATTACAGTTAAATGTTAAATTTCATATACATGTACTTACAATGTTATTAAGCAAATTGTATTAGTTTTATTCTACCTCTTTAAGTAATAGGAAAATCATAGAATTAATCATTCACATGCTCTTATAGACATTGTTTATTATTTCCATCACCCCATAAGCATTTCTTGAAACAGTTATTTATGAATATTGAACTGTCAAAGTCTCTATTGTATTGTGACAGTCTGTATTAGTGAAAACTTTCTACCTATATCATAACACGTTGCGAGAATAATATGCATTTGAGACAGAGCTTATGAAAAATTCAGTTGTTACCATATAGATTTTAATTAAGAATTGTGGTTTTACTGCAGTGTGTTATCCGTTAAAGCATATGTTTATATTAAAACTGCAAAATGTAAACTTTTGTAATGAAACTGCTTGAATGTACAAAAAACGTACTTTGCCCTATACAAGTTTTTTTGTCTACTTTAATTAAAATGTCAAATTTTACGTGTGTCTCGATAAAATAACTTTTGTGCCTTTATCAGTTTGCACCAAAATTATGCTGTTAGAGTTT